TTTTCATTTTAACACGATCATCTACCTATAAAATCACTAAAGAATTCTTAAATATTTCAAATATACATACAAACTTTAATAATATAGACAATATTTAGTACGTCGTTGAATAGATAGTTGATTTTATTTCTAGATGTTTCTAATGACAGATTTTACATTTAAAAGTTTTATTTTTCATCACATACTTAGCATGAATCTGATGCAGCTTATATGACATTTTGTTCATTTAAAAAGTTTGATAATAAGTTAATCAACGTATAATTCAAATAAATAAATATTTTCAATGTTAAACATAAAAATGGCGTGTCTGGTAAGAAATTCAAATCTTATTGTCATAACTGTATGTATGATTCTATTTTCAATTCAGTGTTCATTGTGAACTGTTGTATCCCATGGAGATTTACGAATGGTAACTCTGACAACTATTTGTGGACCAATATGATATGTATATTTCCTATTGTATAATTGTCAAGTAACTAAATCATTCATATTCGTGTCCCTCTTATTATAAGCTTTATTTTGACCTATAGACTACTATTATACGATTTGCCATTCTTGAGTTATCCCTAGTCCATTAATTACTGTTCCCCCTATTCACAGCCACATTTGGCTAAATCTTGTACAAATGTTATTTTCTATTTTATGGTACGATGTGGTCTGTCTGGTTGGTATATAAACCCAGTATGTTTGTGAATAATGATTCATATTGCAGAGGGTGTTATTGGTGTTCTGGACTTAACTTGCTGGGCTAGGCAGATAACAGGACTGATAAGTGCTCATGACTGCTCATACGATTTTATGTATTATTGCTCTGATCGATAATTCACTCCCCTCTCATTGGCGGGAATCAGCACGTCCATGTATCAACTGGGCAAGAACGCTCTCACTCAATCGATATAACAGAACTAAAATACATATTAGATATTTCAAGAAACTTGTTACTGTTCATCTCGTATTTCATAATACAATGCTTAGAATACTTTCTAGCCCATATTCTGAGAGATCATGATTGTTAATAGTTGTTAAGAATAAACCTCTGCTAATAAAGTTGATCTATAAGATTAGACATCATATCCAATCAGTCACTATTCCTTTTTTCAATGTTGGTCCACTAATAAGTTTTCTTGACTAGATTACATTAATCATTGAGAATTTGTAAACTGGTAACAAGTTTCATACTCGAATGATAAAATGAATTATTTGATTTTTCATTTAGTTCCAATCGTCATTCAATTAGTATCAGTAAAATCATGATGAAAAACTCATTTGAATCTATTTTTGAATCAATATTTTGCTGAAAATAGACAAAGAGAATTCAAATAAGAGAGCTTTTATTCAGCATTGATTTTGTAACTGATATTAACTGCGGCAAAGTTGATAAATGTTTAGAAGTGGACTATTATTCTCATCGTAGTTCAGAACTTCTCAGTAGTGAATATCACACTGAAACCCTAAAATTCCATGGATGGTGACTGACAACACAAATCTATTAAGATAATGAACTGATCTAAGTTGGGACACCATTGAAAATCTGAAAGTACTGGACGGCTGTTTCATCGGCAACCCTATACTGATAATTATCATACGCTTACTAGTGAGATGTAATTCTCGGAGTTCTAGTGAGAAGCAGTGAGCAAAGGTGTCAGGCAGTTACCCACCAAAAACAATGGAAGATGGTCGCACAATATCATGGATTGGTTGAAGTTAGACATTAACACGAATGAATCTCGGCTCAGTGGTTTAAAAGTTAGACGATCGCGCGAAATCGAAGGTCCTGGGCCCGAGTCCCTCGCGCGGAATTGTGTATGCGCACCGCTGATGAGCCACGTACTGGGACGAAAGGGCGGTTCCGTACTTCAAGATTTCCAAAGGTAGTCTAAAATTCATTGGTTCATAATTTGAATATACACACGACCCTATGCTGGTAGCATGATTTTAGACCATCCAAATAATTATTATTTTGGAAAGTATTTTGAAATTGCTGTTTTACACCTATAAAACACACAGCAAATCTTCTCTTGATAAAGTACTATGAAGCTGATTGACTTACCTAGTTATATAACTACTGAGGTAATAATAACAATGACAATTATCCTTCAAATATTCTCGTATCATTTCTATTTGTACCCAACTCATATTATAATACTTTGGTTCATTCTCTCAGAGTTTATGGCTGTCTCTGATACTATTAAGGAGTGTTAATATATTTCAGTTGTGTAAAAAACTTAACGGGAAGTTCAACGTCTCTGACTGACCAAAATTGACTGAGTTATATGTTTACTTGATGCACAGACACTTCCGCGACATCCAAGTAGACATTTATTTATGATCAAGTCACAAGATCTGACCTCTTCGTCATTAATAAGTTTTAAGAATTCGATTAGTACATTCAGCAAGTTCATTCCCATCCTAATGATGAGCAGTTGTTCATTTCATTTTTGTCCATAATATTTAAAATAATTCTTTTAAAAACTAAACCGGAGCACCCTAAAGAGTAATTCAGGTTCCAAACACCGCTTTCTATACCTTCTGGGCATGTATCGTCTCCAAAGGTACTTTTACACATTGCTTATTGAAGCGAATAGTGAACAAAGTCTTCTTATTTTCTCAGTTGGTTTCGTGTAATTCCTCATAAATGTCAGTATCCGATATCTCATTGAGTACCTGTTTTCATATTTACTAGAAGTGTACCTGGTAGTCTTTTGAGCTCTAAACTATCTATTACGTCTTACAAGCTGCGAAAAGGTTTATGCAGCCTTACTTTGTTTATCCTACCAGTATCTGTGCTTGATGGCTTCCTTCATTTTATTTTGAGGCCTACCTCGTAAGTCATTAGAAACCTTATCCAAGACATCCCTTACCGTATGTCACAAAACGATCAATTATCGCGAAAAATAAAGGCCATAATAAAAATATTATGTCCCATTTGTTAGTGCCATAAATTTCCACATCGATTACAGATATCTAAACTTCAAGTTCATACTTTGTATCTCTTCTGATGACAGCCACGAGCTCTATTTTTCAGGAAACTATACATTATTTTCCTCTCTAGGTCCACAGATCGAATGCGAACTCACTTAACATCTACGAAAATTTTCAACTATATTGTATTCATTGATAACAAATGTATCAACAATAAAATATAATTACTTACGCCTGTTACCCTTCGTGGAAGAGCATAGTCCACCCACTAGCATTCTCCATCGAAATCTGTCCTGGGCAATCCTTCCTAGTTGTTTCCAGAATAAAATACCATGACAGAAATTATTATTCAATATTTTTATCTTTTGGGAAGTTTTCATATCAAACGAACAAGTTTAGTAATTGATGAGAAAAAAGCACGAATTAGCCAACCTTCAGATGTCACAAAAATCAACATTTCTTATCGGTACGTTTAAAAGCAACAGCTGTAATTCCACTGTTATTGAATGAAATTTTGTACTGTTCCAGTATCCCAATTCAATGTGGATTTCTTAATATTCATTCAGTTTTAAATACAGTTTTGACTATATCTTTGCTTTATCCCAGTATTCTTCCTTTATTTTCTATTCATTTATCTAGTATTGTGTACTTAATACGTTTCAGTTACAAAGCCGTTACCAGTGTTATATTGTCATGTCACCAGGACTAACCATATTCTACTGATCAAGTTTGCAATATAGCTATTTAGTTAAATGACTTTATTTTAATATCTACTGTACTTATTACTAGATGACTGTAGTTAACTTTGGTTGATATTTGCTTACTATTGCCAATTGTTAAATTGTAATTAAAATCTACATTCCCTAGCTAATTTCTAAACCGACAGGTAAACGTTAGACAAGTACTTCGAATCTATCCGCTTTTTCGTGATTTTATCGTTACTTGGAAGTGTACTGCTTCTTATCTTACAGAAAACAATCAAAGGTGTAAGGATTATACAACACAAACATCTGTTGTGAGACAGTCACTCACTGAAGACAATGGTGAGCGGTCGCGCATTGTCGTGGATTGGTTGAAGTTAAACATTAACGTCGCTGGATGCAGACTCAGTGATCCTGAGGTTAGGCTTTCGCGCGCAGGGCAGAAGAGCCTGAGTTTGAGTCCCTCGCGCGGAATTGAGGATGCGCACTGCTGATGAGTCACGTGCTAGGACAAAATGGCCGTCCAGTACCTCAAGATTTTTAATAGTGGTCTAACATTGTTCCACTCTTAATATCAAATTAAACAAAAATATGTATTATCCACTGAAATTTTCAAGAGATATTTGATTGACATGAATTAAACATGTCTAAATTAGCAAGTGGTTTCTCTTGATTAGGGACTTCTCGCTGCTACTTGTCATCCACCTTAGACATAATTACGTCGTGGGTATTTAAAATTTCTCAGTGCATCAGAGTCACTCAATTTACCTAGTGATGACAGTTAAACTTAGCCATATCCATGGCTTAAATACCAATCTTCTCATAATTATTATCAGTGACATGAATAAAACAACGCTTTAAATAAATGAAAGAAGATTTTCATAACTACCATTTATCCATTTTAATCATGTACAACAAAAATTATATTCCCTATCCACTTCTATCACTTCTATTTTATTGACAAACTACTCCATTCACGAGTCTGGACAGGACTTGTTTCAGCCTTTCACTTTTATGCATCTGGTCACAATCTCATCATTATATGCGAAAACATCCGACATTTAAACAAACACTAACCCTAAGCTTGAATATTATTCAATATTTATACTGTATGTGTAGGAATATAATTTATTCAGTTATGAAAAACAGTTCTTGAAGAAATAAAAAATACATCGAATATTTTGCTTAAATAAAGTGCCATTAAGCTAATCGATTAAAATGAGAGGAAACAAAGTGTAAATGTATTTGATTATACCTGTAACTAATTGATTATTTTATGACGTAATCTATACCCACATTATCACATGACGAGCCTAAACATTATCATACTTTCTTAGTGAATGTGTACTATCAATCCTTTTTTTTCTAAAGTACCTTCATGAATAGGATTTCATTTGTAAATTATTCAACAAGTGGTTTTCGTTCGAAAAAAAATAATTCTACTATTATTTATATTAAACTCATCATAGTTTTGATAATATAATTGGACGAAATTATCCTATTTCACCTTGACATTTAAAATGGAGGTGGATATAATTGTATCATTAACCTAGATACTATTGTCTAACTAAATAGTTAATCAATTAAGATGTATCCAATCAAATATTATCAATTTTTTTCGTCAATTACTATTGTTATTCTCCAATTTCTTTGGTCAAATTTCACTTTTTTTTGATATCGTGTGACAAATTTTAAGTGAAAAATTATGAACTTAACTAAAGGAATTAATAAAAAGTTAATTGCAGTTAAAATAAATTTTTTTTGTCAATTTTGTGGTAAGTTAAAAAAATTTTTTATTATTATCAGAAGGGGTTTTGTGGAGATTTAGTATTTTCATAGTTGAAAGCGTGAGTCAATTGAAGCTAGACCACCATGGAAAACCTGGAAGCACTGGACGGCCATTTCACCCTATTGTGGGACTCCTAAGAAAAGATCATGGATGCACACTGCTGAGGAGTCCCATAATAGGGCGAAACGGCCGTCCAGTGCTTCCAGGTTTTCCACGGTGGTTTAGCTTCAATTGACTCACGCTTTCAACTATAAAAAATTTTTAATTTATTAAATTTTATTCTTTTTTTCTCTGATGATAGCAATTTCTTCACTATTTATTTATATGAATCCAATATTAGCTACATATGGCTTAAATTCATATCAATTAGGAATTACTTCATTATTTTCAAATGCTTGTTCATGTATTGCAAGAATTGTATTCGGTATGATTGCGGACCATACAAAACATCGTAATTATGTAAGTCATTTTTGACAAGTAATAATGACATTTAAAAAAAAGTGTTTTGGTTGTAAATATTACTGTTTTTCTTCTTCTTCAATTAAAAACTTACATCGTGAGAGGCAAATATATTTTGTTTTGCAGTCGAATTTTTTTTGAAATGTAGGTAAGAGCTTTCCGAAGAATTAAGACAGCATGTGTAATCAGAGATTGAAAAGAAATATGTAATAAGATATTAGTGTTGTTAATATGTTAGTGAAGTACGTTTCAAACATCAATTTAGCATGGACTAATAGTCGACAAACATAATAAATGATCATTATCTATTATACGCAGTAATTATTGATCTATTCTTTCATGACATTCATCTCACTAAAAAAAAGTATTAGTAGCTGATGTAAAGTCATTTAATATAGACACCGAACTCTTAAATTCAACTAGAAATATACTTACTAATACTAATTATTTCTGTTAAATCACCATATTGATTGAAATGTAGCATTTTTTATAGACTAATACTAAATTATCTGGATAGAGGTTTGTGGAGATTGTAGTAATTTTAACAGTTGAATTCATGAGTTGATCTAAGCTAGACCACCATTGGAAACTTGGAAGCACTGGATGACTTTTTCGTCATATTATGGGACTCCTCAGCTGTGAGCATCCAAGATCCCGCGCTTATGACTCGAACTCAGCACCTTTAGTCTCAAGTGCCAACATTAATCACTGCCGAATTCCATGCGGTTCATGTGGTTCAGTTTAATAGTCGTAAATGTGCCTACATTACCAGCAGCATTCTTGAAATGATTTGCCCAAGGTATATGACTTTTAATGTTTTTTTGTTGGGTAATCAGTAACTGTTTTCGTGGTTTATTCCTTAAATAATTTATGCTAAAATTTAGTACCATCACTGAACAAATATTCGTTTGCTTATGTCCTCTGTTACCGCATGTCTCCAGCTGTCATTCAGCCAACAGAATGTTATAAAGACTACAGTGGGCATAATTAAGAAATAAGCTTTTCAGTCATCATCAATTATATAGATTTATTGTATCATCATTTATGTCATCTTCGATGACAGATTAACCGCTATTACATCTTTGTGGCAGTTGACAATAACCAGTAGTTGGCTGATAATTTTTAATTATTGCTTTAATAAAGGATAAAGTCATCCATTTAAGCATACGATTAGTTGTTTGCATGGTATAAAAGTTCCGGCCAACCTGATTGAGAAATTGCAAAACAATATACCCTAAAGCCTGATTACAGATAATCTATAACTTGTTACTTCTTACTTACTAAGAGGTATCTTACAAAATAATAATAGTATACAACACAATGTTTTAAATATACCTGAAATTAAGCTCCTGAAAATAGAGGTAACAAAACTTTTAAAGAATTAAACACACTTTAAAATGTAATTAAATGGAAGTTTTAGTAGTTTCCAGAATTTTTAAGATATTCTGAAATTTCATTGATTTTAGCATTCTTTTTTTCATTAACACATAAATTTAGTTATTTCGTAGCCATTATTATTGATTCATAACTTTATGCCTATTATTCCTCCTCCATTTAACGAACGTTGAACAAAGTTCACCACTGTGTTAAATTACTTGGAATAGTGAACACACTGAAACCTAATCGATAGAATTTGATCGACACTGAAGACTAGGCAGTATACTAGTGGTTACTAGGACATTACCAGTTAGTTTTCAAATATCTCAGCCTTATAGTCATATTCTAAATAGCCTAGAGTTAACCACTTTGTATCATTAGGTAATATAAAGTCATATCCAAATTAAGAGGGCACTGACCTTCAGAAGATTGTGGATATAATCTCAAATTCTTTTTTCACTAGTCCTTTTTGCCATGTTACGTTTTCTTTCCCTTAAATATAATCTTTTACGTCATACTTGGAAGGTATTCAGCATTCTAACATCTTACTTGTTTGTTTAATTTTTAATCGATTAGTTAATATAAACTGTCAATATTTTCTTAACTTACATTAATGAACGTTTTTCCTTATACTATATTGATAATCAAACTATTTAAGTCAACTTTATAAATAAATAAAAAATGTACCAGTACGTAGTTAACTCCGGAAAAATCTTAAATTCTCTATTTATAAAGCGTTAATAATTACACCAACGGACAAATTTTTTTTAAGGACATCATATGCTAGAATGAATGATGAATATTATTTATTCATAAGATAGATTTATATTTAAGTTAAAATTAAAAACTTGTCTAGATAGAATATAGTTAGTTTACATTTGAATTGGCACTAATAATATGGTTCATATTTGTCATTTATAGTTGCCATAACATTTATTATTAAAACAACTAGTTTTTAATTCATAAATGTTGGTTGTTGTTTATTATATTTAATAAGAATGATTATGAAATATTCAATTTAATTTTTATCGGTAATAAATATATTTTTAGAATTTATTTATTATAATACTTTAATAATCTTTTATTAAATTAGTAAGTAATGTTAATAGATTTTATAATAATAAAGGCCTAAAATATTTGATTTAGTGAATTAATAGTTTGAACTAACAGGTTACCGGTTTGAATTGTGCTTTGATTATTTTTCTCTGAAAAATAGGATATTATCAATTGAAAACCTTACACATTAATGTAACTTGCAGCTTATATGATAATTGAAAGCATGAGTCAATTGAAGCTAGACCACCAGAGAAAACCTGGAAGCACTGGACGGCCGTTTCGTTCTATTGTGGGACTCCTCAGCAGTGAGCATCGACAACCTCGCCTCGCAAGATTCGAACCCAGGACCTACCAGTCTCGCTCCAGAGCACTTAACCGATAGATCAATGAACCGGCATCCGATGGTGTTTATGTCTAACTCCAACCAATCCACGAAATTTAGCAACCATTTCACTAATGCCTTCAGTGAATTGATATCTCCACTGGTCACTGCTTCTCACTAGAACACCTGGATTTACCGCTCCACAAAACCCGTTCTTATATGATAAACCAAGTTAATAAGAAATAAGTAAATAAAAATGCGATCAGATGAATTATGATCCATGTAGAATATGCACACGGAATGCTCATTGAGTAGTGGCAAATGTCTTATTTGTCTAGTCCTGATAGATAGAGTTCGATCAATACTAAGAACTAGATAGACATGGCATCCACCATTGCTAGATCATCAACTAATGTAAATATCTCAGTCTGACGGAAAGAAAGTCGCATCCCCATTAACTCAATGCTAACGCCTCAAACTATGGAACTAGGTGACTCAGGTTTCGGTTATCCAGAGAGTAACAGTTCCTTCAAGATTCCAGCTACTCCTTGCTTACAAGAGCCAAATAGCCAGAAACCTGGTTTCAAAGTCTTCTACTAACTGCTCCAAACCATCTGACAAAGTTACTAATATGTATTAACCCAAGTTTTGAAAATTGCCTTAAGTAATTTTAACGAAATTATAATACTGATAACGTTAGAAGACTAAACATAAGAGAACTAGTTCTGTAAAAAGTACGCTCCGAATTCACATTAAGTTAAAAAAGAATGAATAAATCTGTATCAATGTCACTAATTCTAAATTGTATCAAATTAAAATAAACAATTTATTACAGTTAGCTAGCGAAATCCATCATTGATAATATTTATCTAAGATATGGCCTTAACCAATAGTTCTTAACTTGATAAAATTATGTTAGACATAAATAAAGGTCTACAACAACGACTGGTTTACAATCTATACCTAACACTTCATCCCTAACCTTAGTACTGATCATCTAGTGTTTCCATCATAAGCTTATAATACATCGAAGACACACATTTTCGAATATTTGTGACAACAAAATATCTTAAATCTTGTAAGGCAATACTTCACAGATATCAGATATTATCGAGTGAACTATTAAGAGGCACACACTGCCTTTGATTGAGAAGAGGGTATCTTCTGTGTCTCTGGTGGAGAAATGTCGGAGATAGCTAACCTAGCTTTTCATACCGGTGCCCATATTTTTAAACGGTTAAAACATCATGGTTTATGAAGTTCTCAAGCAAAACGAAGTCAACGTGCACAATCACTTCACTTCATTCGTTCAGAACTAACACTGATTTAGACTAGTCTTGAAGCAATATTTGAAGTATGGAAGAAGGGAAAGACATTCTTAACATTATCGTATGCCTTAATCTAAGCCGGTGAAATCAATGTATAACTCAATCGACAGATATTGATTAGCATTAAGGATTAGATAGTCATGACACTGGTACTAGTAAATGACCAATTAATATAAACAATCTCTTTAAGTATTTTACAGAACTTATTATTTTCTAAATTATATTTTGGTTTCATTCCTTGTTTTGTTTTTAAAATTTATTCATTTACAAGGTTTTAATGGCTTTATCATCTACATCACTTGGTTTAATGTTGTTATTTTTAACAATACCAAGAAATAAAGAATATGTATTTAATGGAAACATAAATGAGAATGGAGAATTTGTAATGCATTTAACACCATTATTAAAAAATGACAGTCAAAATAATTATATGGAGTAAGCGGAATTAAATGCTTTTCTTTCTTAACTACGTTTTACTTCGTATATTTGATTTTATTATATGTATAATTATTGAAGTAATGTTATTCTATCTGATCGCGTAAAACCTTTTTTTGTTGTTGAAAATCCTGTCAACCACTGACCAATCCAATTTATTAGTTTAGAGTATAATTTTCCGTCGTTAATGTTCACAGATACATTTGATCGGTCACGGTGAACAGATGAATAAAACAGGTCACATCATTAGCATAAATGTGTATAAAAAAATATTTTACTTCCACTTAGTATATTATAAGTTCAGACATTCAATTTATACCAAATGATATAGTAGTTATATGTTACACATATGAATCTTCAGTTCTAGATGCAATTTTCTTATAGATCAACAATCCCGATTTGAGCAATTGATCAATCAAGAAAGTAACAGTCTATCGACTTTCGCAATAGAACGTATATTTTAATCATGCCTATAATACAGCTATTCTAAAATCTTTAATTACAGATGATCATTATAAATTAACTTCTATCATAATTAAGGTTTTAGCTTAATATAGCTGTAGATATAGAATACCACAAAATTTTCATTAATTAAGAGTTAAACCCATTATCCGTTTAATGACTATTGAATATTGTTTCAAATCATATATAGCTTTAAGTCAAAAGTGTTATTCTGATCAGAATGTTGTTCTTAGCCTTAACTAAGTAAATATTTAAAGATTAATAACACGGTGGTTCAAACTGTGTTTCATTTTATAACTATCAATACCTACTTGTGGAAAAAGTTATTTTTATTTTTTATATAATAAAAAGTATCGATCATGTCTACCGCTAGGTGTTCTTTGATGGAATATAATGTTTTAAAAAGATAACATGATAAAAAGATACGTGTCCTTTCATAATACTATTTTTATCTTCATTAGTATGAAAACTGAATTTTGAAAAACAAACGCTTGTACACCAATAATAAATTTCATTAGTAAGCATACAAACAAATGTCATTCAAGATGTAATTCGCAAAACCGGTGCAATATTCAATTCGTCTTCAAAAGATACTGTTCACCTTAGCAGCGTATACAGCATTATAATTGAAATAATTATTAACTGATTGTTAAAATATTGTGATATCCTTAAAACCATGAACCGGTCAAAGTCAAACAACCAATGAAAATCCGGAAGCACCAGACGGCCGTTTCACCCTAGTATTGGACTCCCCTGTAATGCATATCCACGGTCCCCCACACAGGAGTAGAACCCAGGACCTTCGATCTCGCGCGCAAACACCTAACCTCTAGACCAATGGATCTGCATCCAACAGTTTTAATGTCTAACTTAAATCAATTCGAGACTTGGTCCTGCGTTCGACTTCCGCGCGCAGGGTCTTGGATGCACACTTCTTGGGTGTCCCACACCAAGGCGAGACGGCTGTCCAGTGCCTCTAGGTCTTCAGTGTTGATCTAAATTAGATCAATTCATGATTTCAGTAAAACTCAAGAATCTCCATAAGCCCTTACTGACTATTATGATTTCATTAGCATAAATACTATTTTACTATTAATGACAGTTATTAAAACAGTTTGAAAACTGTATTAATTTATTATTGTTTTATGAAATCTTAGAGCAAGTATTTTTATGTCTAATCTCAAAACATGTTGCTCATACTTACTGTGGAAAATCTATCAGTGTAGTAATCTAAAGATTTAGTTTATTTGTTTCAGCAAACGATAGTCGATAGCCTAAATTAGAATTTTAGATTTAAATATATATTTTCCATATATTTTCCATTGCTGATCTAATCATGAATTGATGTACTCGAATCTGTAGGCCACAGAATTTCTGACTATACAATAAAGTTTTCTATTTTAGATTTTTTAAAATAATTCTATATTTTAATCACATAAAGTACATATGAGCTTTAGTAAAGGTTTGTAACTTGTCTCGTAGCTAAATATGACAAAACGTAAGTAGAACTACCACAGTAATCCACATATTTTCCTTCGCATTTGCACTTTGGACAGACGATATACGATACAAATATGCAGTAAAAATATTTTGTAAAGACTAAACTTATTTCAGTGACACTACAGATTTAGTACTGTTATTAAATATACTGTGCTAACTAAAATGACTACTATTGTTATCAAAGTCATATCTTATCAACAATATATAAATACGTTTATCATGATTATGGATTTTTATAAATCGACTAACTACTTTTTCACTGTGTTTATATAATATAAAGTTGTAAATGTACTGCTGAACTGAATGTAAAGTATGATCTGTGTAACTGATACTTTGGTTCATAAAGTGAGTTTATGATTAGATTAGATTAAGTTTTAGTTATTTTTGAGACAAGGTTAGTAAGATTACAGATTCAAGTTATCTACCATAATTTTCAACCTTTGTTTTGCCAACTAAGAATTAGCGAACATTCCTAGCAATAAACAACACGATCTCCACGTATTTAAACCGAAATGTTTTCTGATATCTTTATTTATCTTATACGATATAAATGATTTTGTTCAGCTTGTTAGATTAGTTCAAAACCTTTACTATCTCATTTATTATAACATCACATCGTTTGTTTGTAATCATGTGTTATCTTGTCCACTTTCTTTTCAGATTTTACTGTATTTTTAGTGTTTTTCTGAGACTGATATTTAAGTGTTCCTGATTTGATTTGGCAACCATAATCCGCAATTCATTTCTAAAGAGGCTTCATAGCTACCGTTTCTAACTTGCAAAGTTTCATTTCATCTTTCTTTCTGTAGTGAGTTTTCATCACAAACTGTCTCCAGCTTACCCAAAATACATTAACCTAATGATTTCCTAAACTGGCTTCAGTTAGAAAATCATTAGAAAGAACTTTTAATACTGTTGTTTCTGTTCAGAAACTTTTAAGCACTCCACATACACACTGTTCAACGCATAGTAAAACCCAGGATCACTCAATTAGAGCACATTGAGTCCGAATTCTTTTCCAGCATTGTTTTATCTGACATTTCTACACAGCTTATCAATTTATTTGTCTCATTCAAGGGCTGTAAATTAATTATGTCACAAACATACTGGGATCCTCGAAAACGTTGTTTGGAATACATGAAATGCTTTTTAAGCCAATAAATAGTAATAATTTAATTTAGGATTAAACAGTCTTTCAATATTCCCAACGTACACAATTTTTATCGACTAGTCTATAAATATACATACCTACTAAATAGGAATAATATATTTGTAAAATCTCAGCGAATGAATTTTTTTAAATTAAATCCAACGTTTCGCCTGGCAATCTGGTCCAAGCTTTTTCAAGGAATTATAATCAAACATCAAAATTATCAAATATAAATAGGTACATGGTTCTCCGAGTTCATTATACACTGAATAGGTCATCCAATCAACGTTAACAATAGTCTAAACTAGGTATGTTTAAGAGATATGTGATGTGTAGTGAAGAGTGTTCATATAACATATTGTGATGTGAAGTGATGAGTGTTCATATAATATATTGTATAGAAAACGTAAGAGATGAGAGGATAAAAATTACATTCACATTCATATATTGTCTCTTATCAGTGAATTTATAAGGAAACATACAATTTGTAATATATGTGATATGAATCATATCTGTCTCAGTATGTATAACATGAAGATAATTAAACAAAATAAAAATATAAAGGTGAAATTTGAAGATCGTAATTTTGACTGTATGTATGTGTCATTTTTAATGTTCCAATGAATTGTTTAACAAATTCCGATAAGACAATAGATTAGAATCATTGAGTGTAATTGTTGTCATTTTAGATAATACGAATTCGATAAAAACATTAAGGAGTTCAGGTTGTTACTTATTAATGCTTAGCTGCCATGGCACTGCTAATTGTATTCCATCCCTCCTATTAATATTGTTTGGATTAGCCCAAATGTATAGGGCTTCAGCTGTTTGTCTCTCCTTGTAAGAATTAAAAGCTTTTTGAAGGATTCTAGTGCCATCGAAATCAATTGTATGACCTGATTCTAACGAATGTAATGCTATCGCTGATTTGTTCTCCAATTTCCTTACATCATCTGAGGATTTAGGAATATGTTTCAAACATTGTTTGTGTTCCTTCACCCTCACATTCAGTTGAAAAAGCTTGGACCAGATTGCCAGGCGAAACGTTGGATTTAATTTAAAAAAATTCATTCGCTGAGATTTTACAAATATATTATTCCTATTTAATGTCTTCAACTCGGCGCTCAAATACTGTGAAATTATTCGTTTTAATTTAGACGAGAGTTCTTATATACATACCTACTGTTAGAAAATTTTTGGAGTTTTCCTTACTGAATTGGAACTAAGTACAAAGAATTACCGAAATACATATAATTCGATTACTGAATATCACTCTGGTTTGATACCGAAATCCAAACATCCGAAGTACAAATTTTAGTTACCATGACATTAGAAATATATCGAGAAGAATGTTATACTGTGTGAATTATTTATGAATGAATAACTGGTTGATAAAGACTTTCAATGAGTGTTCGTCATCTCCGTCTCCTTATGACTGTCTTAAGTAATTAGTAACTTAGTTTCAATAGTACACAAATCACTTCAGCTTAAGATAAGGAACTAACTTACTATCTAAGAAGTTGTATTCATGATAAAGTCAACTAATAATCGGATTCATGATTATGCAGTCAAAGTAACTTTATAAACCTATTAAGATTGATTAGTGTACCAAAGTATATTTCGACGTCTTTTTGACGTAATGTTTTCTTCATGAAACTATAATTAAATGTAAAATTAGCTGAAGGTTAGATAATACCATGATGCAACGTTGAAGGCACAACTTTTCTCCTGATTCATAACGTTAATTTCGTTACTGACCTATTTTAAATCGTTCTGACTGTGTACTAACACTTTTATTTTCCAGAGGTTAAGACTTTTTTGAAAAAATATTATGTAAGTGATCAACTGAAATTTAATATGCTACATCAAACCTGTTGAATCGCAAATACAAATATTTGAAAAATATACCTCAGCTACTTAACAATGAGAAAGTAATATAATGAAATTCAAAAATCAAAATAAACATGTCCGTATGGAGATTATTGTATTTCATTGAAATTATGAATCAATCCAAGTTAGGCAGTCAATAAAAACTCGGAAGCATCGAACGATAGTTTCATTCTAGTATGGGACTCTCCAGCAGCGCTTATTCATGATCCTGAATTCTGGAATTCAACCAGAAACCTTCTGTCTTACTCTCGAATACTTAACCTTTAGACACGTAATCCGGTATCCAAAGCTGTACAAATCTAACATCAACCAGTCCATAATATTGCATGAATATCTTCCCTTGTCCTCAGTGCGCTCGTGCTTTCAGTGCGATTCAAAAACCTCCGAAGCCTTTTACTGATCTTTTTCATTTCTTCAAGAACTGTTTCTCATAACTGAGCAAATTATATTCATACACATACAGTATAAATATTGAATAATATTCAAGCTTCCATATGATCAGGGAAGCCACTATAATAGGTTTCATTCTAAATGTATACAAAATGGTATGAAAACAATGACATTTTGCTTCAAATTATGAATGTTGATGATGGTGTTTGGTGTCTGTTGATTATTGATATCAGTAGGTAGAAAATAATCAGTTTGATTGTTATTTGTTGTTATTAGGGTTGGTGTTTGTTTAAATGTCGGATATGTTCTCGCATATAGGGATGAGATAGTGACTGGATGTATAAAACTAAAAAGCTGAAGCAAGTCCTATCCAGACTAGTGAATGGAGCAGATTATCAATAGAATAGAAGTGATAGAAGTGGATAGGGAATATAATTTTTTTTGTACATGATTAAAATGGATAAATGGTAGTTATGAAAATCTTCTTTGGTTTTTTGTTCCTCTCGAAGCTTATCATTTGTAGGCACATAGTAATTGTCAGTATTGGTCGTACAAGTTATTGGATAGTCGTCCAATATCGCGGATTGATTGAAGTTAGATTTGTACAGCTTTGGATACCGGATTACGTGTCTAAAGGTTAAGTATTCGAGAGTAAGACAGAAGGTTTCTGGTTGAATTCCAGAATTCAGGATCATGAATAAGCGCTGCTGGAGAGTCCCATACTAGAATGAAACTATCGTTCGATGCTTCCGAGTTTTTATTGACTGCCTAACTTGGATTGATTCATAATTTCAATGAAATAGATTTATCTCACCGGTAAATTTTAATTAATGAAGATTAATTATGACTTACCAAAGGTAATAAAAATACATGAAAATCTCTGATTTTTCAGTGCAATCGATTTTCGTTTGTCCTAAATAAGGGATGACTTCATTACCACCATTTTTATCTCTCTTATCCGTAACATCACATTATCTATCGATATCAGGTCACCTTATATTGAGAGGTCTTTTTTATAGTTTAAATAAAATATAGGTCTACTGGCAATCCTAAGGCTTTTCTTTTCAGAAATAACGTTTTCATCCCTTTTCATTCCCGTAGTACAGTATTGAACGATTTGTTTTGAATGATAGGTTCAGACATGTCAAACTATTATTGGAAAAGCTTTGCAAAATTTTCGACAACATCTATGACGACAAAATAGCTTGATAAAAATCTTGGTAATGCATTTGTACTCTGCACTGTCCATCCCGACTTTGTATTCGGGTTCTTCATAGTGTCTTTCTCTGGGCATTTCTGTAGAATGAACTACAGACTATCATATATCTGGTCTTTATTACCTCTAACAACATCAATAGTGAGTGTGTTGAACTAGATGGCTTCTCTCCTGAAGTTAGTATCCTCTGTACAATAGGTTGTTTCAATCGAGTTGCACTTGTCCCAAGCAGAGCCGAAATGCATCTCCTCATTTCTGTGGCTGTTTGAATGGCCCTCCTGATAACACACATAGCTTGGATATTCCATCTACTCATATTTGTTGTTATTCAGCTTTTCAGAAGTTGTGTTTGCTTAGAAATTTTCATTAAATCTCAGGCTTCACCAATGATACCTAGAGTTTGTACCAGTAGTGACCCCACAAATGTTTGAGGAAGGATTTATGTATTTCTTAAATGATTTACGTTAATATGACTAAATTTTACGTATTTAATGGGTTTTTCAACTGTTTGACAGGACGCTTTTTAATGATGGATTAAATATACCACCATGTTGGCCGTTGGTTTTAAAACAGTGTACATCCAATGAAAACTTCATTATATCAGAAAAGAATTATTACCTAAGAGCCTTTAATACTCACAAATTATCAAGAGTTTATGTTGGAAATGAAAATCATTCATATGATCTGTCAATACATATACAACAGAAGTTTCCGTTAAATAAGACGATTCAACTTAGTTGTGTAGAAATTGAAACAACGAATGGATCTAATTGTGCACCACTTGTTTGCGAGCATATACGTAAGTAGAGCTAATTACTCCACAAATATTAAAATAGTTTACTCTCATGTTGTTTAATGCGAACGTAACCAACTCTTTTCTGACTTATTCAATGTTTGTATTTAATTTAATGTAGCCATACGACTATAGTTAGATAATATTGTGCTGACCATAGACTGACTTTGTGAGATTGATAGACGGACACTATGAACACTGAGCCTGTCAAAGATCTGCATTGACTTAACTACCCATACTACACTATCACAATTAGATAAAAATAACGGAGTGAATAGTAAAAGAGGTCAGAAAATATAGTAGCAATTGTGATAAGAAAGACTAAACATTGTCAATGTGATCCGAAAAGGCAAAATGGAAAAGTATGTATGAAAGAAGGATGGAATTTAAGGCCGAGAAGAAGATAAAGAGTAAATGCATTTTCACGCTTATAAAAATTCTGGGCCACATCAATCAAAGTCTCCAACTACTGATAACGGTTATCACAGAGACTCTAACCAGGTAGTCTGTACTTATTAAGATAACTAATCTCAGCAGTCAGTGATTTGAAAAACTGGTACCATATCTCGGTCTGGTCATCTCTAGCCTTCTTTCAACCTACTTCTACACCAGAAAGCTTCACTTGTCGAAACAGATTGTGGTTATGCATGTATAATACTCGTTTCGACCAACTCATTCGATAAAGGTTTACAACCTCACCAGCCGGTATGTCAATTTTCATCAAAATCAAGTCTCTATTGACTTTATGATTTATTGGAAAATATGGGTAAAAATAAAATTCACAAGTCAATCTCTGAAACTCTGAAAGCTAAGTGATTTTCCTCATCCCTTTAAGAAAGCTATTCCAGTAAAGTTTTAGCAGTTTATTAAGCGGTAAAACTGTTCATCGGATTAGCTCTATCCTCTTGATCGATACACTATGATTTGTTTTGAAAAATATTTGCGTTAACCGGTAATTTTCATAGCTCATATTATAGACAGATCCTAGTTAGAAAACGATTGAAAAACTGAAAACAGTGGACAACTATTTTATCCTTTTAGATGATTAATTAACAGCTCAGATTCATGACCTTACTATGAATCGAGCCCAGGACTTTCGATTTCTCCGAAAAAGCTTAACCTCTAGACTACTCGGCCAGTAACCAGTAGTATGCGTATCTAACTATAATCAGTTCACAACATTGCATAACCATCTTCCATTCTCTTGGGTTGGTAACTAATTAACACTAGAGAAGCTTACACTCCACTGATTACAGGTTCTCATTAGAACTCCTAGATTGCATCTAGAAGTTAGTCACTAGTGGGGCTGTTGATTCAAACCGCCAAGGCGGCCCATACTAGGATGAAAAACCTGTTCGCTGCTTCTTGGTTTCCAGTGGTGGTCTAACTAGGATCAGTCCATGTTGTAAACTGTGACAATTGAATAATCTCCTATTCTAACCTTTAATGTATATGTATATTATTTCTTCTTCTTTTTAAGTAAATTGCTGAACTTACTTTAGTAACTGTGAATTTTATCTCATCTTTTTTTTATTTTTAATATCTAAATAAATTTTTTACAGCTTTTTTAATGATATACTCATCAACTAGTCATATAGAGTATGAAATCTAAAACAATTGTGCATTAGCTTAAATTGTTACACTTCATATTAATAGCTAGATAGAAATGTAAACCAGGAAAAAAAATAAAAAAAATAACACTATTAACATTGAAACGTGAAACATACAAAAATTTAAAAGCAAACAAATGAAATAGAAATTTGTAGAGTATCCAATGATATTAAGGTTTAGATTTAGTGTAAGATAAAAATTAATGTTATGATTAATTCTAATGTAGTTCATGTTGTATCCCATGGAGATTTATGAATGGTAACTCTGACAACTATTTGTGGACCAATATGATATGTATATTTCCTATTGTATAATTGTCAAGTAACTAAACTATTCATATTCGTTTCCCTCTTATTATAAGCTTTATTTTGACCTATAGACTACTATTATACGATTTGCCATTCTTGAGTTATCCCTAGTCCATTAATTACTGTTCCCCCTATTCACAGCCACATTTGGCTAAATCTTGTACAAATGTTATTTTCTATTTTATGGTACGATGTGGTCTGTCTGGTTGGTATATAAACCCAGTATGTTTGTGAATAATGATTCATATTGCAGAGGGTGTTATTGGTGTTCTGGACTTAACTTGCTGGGCTAGGCAGATAACAGGACTGATAAGTGCTCAAGACTGTTCATACGATTTTGTGTATTATTGCTCTGATCGATAATTCACTCCTCTCTCATTGGCGGGAATCAGCACGTTCATATATCACCTGGGCAAGAACGCACTCAGTCAATCGATATAACAACTGGCGACGGGGAATATGTATATTTTATTCAACTCTATATAAACATAACAAGTATTATATCTTTGAGTGCTTTATTAATCATTTTTAACCATTAAAATAGACGAAAATAACATTTGAATAAAGAATGAAATGCTATTGTATTAAAAAAAAGTAATAACCATCGTATGATGATAAATTTAGTTAACTAACATCGTATATAAATAGTTAATATAAAACCCTAAAGTATTATATCATCAGTCATTTCATGTTCTATATTTTTGTTATTTTTATTAGTTTGCAAAAACTAAAGTTTCGTGGTATCCCTGTAAATCAACATTTATGTTTGATCTGTACATTAACCCTGAATTCATTAGGTGTAATGATTCAAATTACACAATTCAGATACCATTTCGATAGGTGAAATGATTGATTAGTGTAAAGATTATGTAGTTTTATCGAATTATTAACTGTTTCCTTTCAATTCAATCAATCAGTTATCTATCCCAGTTGTAATATTTATCAATTTCTTAATATTTTAGCATAATCAACTCTTTTGAGAAATCATTTGTTTTGTCTATGTATATATGAAGTTCGATGATAATCTATTTGTTATATCTTGTGGCCGAGTGGATGCCTAGTTCATGTGTGACTTGATGAGACCACCAAACAGGGAGCGGCGAATTATCGATTGGAACAGTGACACACGAAACCGTAAGAGCGCTAACCGGTCCTGCTTCTGCCTAGCCCAGACAGTTAAGTCCAGAACACCAATAACACCCTCTGCAATATGAATCATTATTCACAAACATACTGGGTTTATATGCCAACCAGACAGACCATATCGACCCATAAAATAGAAAATAACATTTGTACAATATTTAGCCAAATGTGGCTGTGAATAGTAATCAATAAACTGATGATAACTCAAGGATCGCATAATAATAGTTCAAAGGTCAAAATAAAGCTAATGATAAGAGGAAACGAATATGATTAGGTTAATTACGATAGGAAATATACATATTACATTGGTCAATAAATAGTCCTCAAAAGTTACCATTCACAATTTTCTTCGGGATACAACACTATTCAAAAATATTTGATATCAATCTTGTAAAGTGTTTAAGGAGTTTCTTCACTGATATTTTTTTCACTAAAACTAATAGACTACTTGTGATAAGTATTCAATACTTCTTTAGATTTTACGTTTGTTTTATACGCTAACTGAAAGAGTAGATTTTCTCAATCGAATTTAGAATATTCAGAACACATTAAATTTATATCTTTCATCTAATGATTAACATTTATTCATTTATATTTTAAATAGGCTTAACTTATTTTTTTTAATTTATTTAAATAAATTCAAACCAGGGGATGCATCATGGTCAGTTGTGATAACCGTTTTAATTCTACGCTGTTTAGTTAGCTCAGCTCATGCACCAATTTCAAATCTACTAGATTCAGTAACATTTTCAATACTTGGATCAGAAAAAGCACATTTCTATGGTAAATCAAGAGCATTGGGATCATTTGGTTTTATGATTGGTTCTCTATTAACTGGTTTTGCAGTATACCAGTATACATCAATAAATAATCATCATACAATAAATGAAACAAACTTGAATCTTTTATACTATAGTAGTAATTCATTAAATATCAATTCAGTGAATCCGAATTATATACCAGCAATTATAATCGCTTTGTTATCAGTTGGTATTGGTACAGTTGCATCAATATTTTGTAATTATGATAACACAAATTCTGTAGAAACACATTTTACAAAAGCATTAACCACAGCAATACGTTCACCAACAATGATCCAATGTTTAATGGTTGCATTTATGACTGGTTTGATTATATCATTTGTCGGTGAATATAATTATCTTATTCTCACTACAATCTATCATGTACCACATTATTTTTTAGGTTTATTAACAACTACAGCTATTACTGTAGAAATACCAACACTAGTATTTGTTTCCGGTATCTTTGTAAAACACTTTGGTGCGATTGTATGTCAAGTAATTTCACAAATCTTGTTAACTATATGTTTCATATTTTATACGTATTCAACAAACTATTGGTATCTCTTAATTGGTGAAATTGCCTATGGTATATCTTATCCAATTTTAATGAATGCTTTATTATTACAAACGGAAAAAGTTAGTTTTGAAAAAATGAATAAGGATTATCAAATTTTAGCTAGTTTACAAGCTATACTAACAAGTACTATGTATGGTTTAAGCAGTAGTTTAGGTGGACTAATATGGGGTTTACTATTACAATATTTTAAAGCACGCACATTATATTTTATAGCATTTATTTACACTTCAATTTGTGCATTACTTTTCCCGCTTGTCGCATATTATTTAAACAAATTTAAATGTTAAATGGTTTTAAGTGTACTTGGATTTCTTTTTTTTGTTTGTTTGCTCACACGAATAAACTATGTTATGATTATAATTTATAATAAATATTAAATTAACAGAAGGTGGTTTTGTGGAGATTTTAGTAATTTTATATAGTTGAAACCATGAGTCAATTGAAGCTAGACCACCATGGAAAACATGGAAGCACTAGACGGCCGTTTCGTCCTATTGTGGGACTCCTCAGCTCATTAGTGACTGAGTCCATGAGGTGTGTGCTGGAGTTCTAGTGAGAAGCAGTAACCGGTGGAATTCAACCAGGTCTGTTGGAAGATATCAACTCACTGAAGACATTGGTGAAATGGTTGCTCAAACATCGTGGATTGATTGAAGTTAGACATTAACACTGTTGGATGCCGGCTAAGTGGTCTATCGGCTAAGTGCTCTGGCACAAGACTGGTAGGTCCTGGGCTCGAATCTCACGAGGCAGGATCGTGGGTGCGCACTGTTGATGAGTCCAACAATAGGACGAAGCGGCCGTCTAGTGCTTCCAGGTTTTCCATGGTGGTCTAGCTTCAATTGACTCATGATTTCAGCTGTATTATTAAATTAAACTAGAAATATCCTGTTTTGTAGATCTATCATATAAAAATATAAATTGGGATATTTAGAAAGGGAATTCTTTTTTTTTCTTTTCTAAACTACATGTCTATCATCAGATAATTCCATATAGAAGAAAAATTACTATAATATTTCTTCTTGTCAACATTTCCTGTTAATAAACTTTTAATAAATAAATTTGTTTTGTTTAATCTTTCCATATAATTCTCGAAAGAGTATTTCTACTTATTTTCAACATGTACAAATATTTAAATTATGTAAAATAGATTAAGTATGAGTTTTTTCCCTTTCAAATTAGGCGCATTGTTTCTTTAGTAATAAAAAATGCATGAACTGAGATGGTTAAGATATAAGAACTTTCGTCTAATTTAGAGCGAATAGTTTCACAGTATTCGAGCGCCAAGTTGATGTAAGACATTAAATAGGAATAGTAAATTTGTAAAATCTCAGCGAATGAATTTGATAATTCCTTGAAAAAGCTTGGATCAGATTGCCAGGCGAAACGTTGGATTCACTTCAAATTCATTCTCTGAGATTTTACAAATATATTATTCCTATTTAATGAGATGGTTAAGGTTTATTATTATTATTATTATAAATACTATTATTATCCAACATACCTCAGTACACTTCACCGGATAAAATACATTCAAAAGCAAAACAAATTTTAAGCGTGTAAAATAGAGGCGTCTATCAAGTATTATAGTAGCAAATGTAATGTATACTTCAGGAATTCTAAGATCTGTCTAAAACGTACATAAATAGTCAAGAATGTATCAGCACTCAAATAAACCAGAACATGTACATATGGGAATGTATCCCATTGTAATGAGGAAACTCCGCGCAATTGTACGTGAAGCATTTATTATTTCATGCAAACAACATAGCTTCGCTTTAAACTTTGAATAGAGAGAGCAAGATGTTTACAAGTTTGTATTTTTGATGACGTAATAACTTGAACCAAGTACAAATGTAGCAGACGAAACCTAATTAATTCAATTTTACTACATTTAAAACTGAGAATAATTGAAACATTTAATTTATATCAACTGCCTGTAAAGTTTAGTTAAAAATCAAGCTTCAAAGCATTCAGTGACGGTTCAGAGAAATTAATTTACGTAGCCCCCGTATGCCCTGGTACGGATGAGAGTAGGCAGAGTCCGCTCTCCCTCTCTAAATGCTCTCATGGCCACGCGTATATAGCCACTGCCGGGGAAGTTCTACTCACTACCCCTCGGCTTGGGTGTTGTTTGCTAAATTGAGGCGAGGAAAGCGAATATCTGGCTGTTTAACCGGGTTGGTGGATACGGAGGACCCACTTAGGGGAGTTGGAAAATCCTGATTCCAAACCAACGGTGTACATGAGTCCCAGTATCTTAAGGGAACAAATAATGTATGAACCAATCGTTGGTCACCGGCTACCATGGGACTGCATCTCCGCACGATGCTCCTCTGCCTTGTGGATCAGACGTTCAGGTCAAAGGCTCTGGGTGTGGCTCCCTAAGAAAACCACCTGCTTCAGTTTGGGCACCTGGCAAGTATCATAGCCCTCACACAAATCAAATGAGATTTGTGTGGCGCATATGTATTCGGTGCCTCTTTGAACCAATATTTATGTGCTTGAATAAATAAATAAATAAACGTGGCAATACGATGGTTGATATTTTCTAGTTGTTCCTGAAATATATTCTTAGCTTGCCTATCATTAGGTAGAACCCTAAGAGGCTTCCTTGCAGTGTCTTTTCTACGTCCAGTAAGACAACCAGACAGATACGTGCTTGCACTAGAGCATAATCTGAATCAAAACATGTGCTCCAGAATTAGCGACAGTTTTCTACCCAGCCCCTCCATCGGTGGCTGGTAGCGATGTGATCTAGTTGGGTCCAACGTTGGGACGAATCCGGGGGTTGCCATGTCAAAAGATGTTTTTCCTTGTGCTTTAAGTTAGTATTTGCAAGAAACAGGCGGTTATCTGAGGATAGCTGCAACAGACGGTCACCATTATCTGTTCTTTGAGCCACGACACCATAAGATCCACCCAGGTGTCTATCCTTTTCGCTTAGTTTGCCTACTTGAGCAATTAAGTCAACAGCCACTATTAATACATTGGAGCGCCTAGCTTTTCGGAGAAGGTCAGAAAGCTTTTTGTAGAACTCATCTTTTATATCGTCTGAGCTGCAGTCTAAAAGAGCTAGTTCTGTCCTAGGACTTAATGCTATCTCTACACCAGTGAGTCCACGGGAAGCAGCATCAGGGCTTCCAGATACATGAAGCGTGCATCGAGATGGCTCTTTATTTTGATATGGTGAGGTCAAATGAATGACGCTACTCGGATCCTATATGCGCGTTTCGGTGACGCAGCACACATCGATGGTGCGAGATTCTAAAGTCCTAGCTAGGGAGGCCTGTTGTCCTATTTGGCACAATGTTCGAACGTTAAAAGTTCCTACATGTAGTTTAGAGCGTGGTTTCAGGAGTCAGTCAGCGACAACGTAGGACCAGGCACATATATGCATCGGTCCAAGTTGCCACACCTCGTTAGCACAACAAGATGAACACCGGATTCATAGAAGTAATTAATTTAGTGGTGGTAGTATATAAAGAAAGGTTGTATAGGATATAGTATAAGAAGGAAAAAAAGTTATGAAGCAATTTTAATCTCAAGGTTTAAGGGAACATAAAGAGTGTATACACATACGCCATTGTGATCGATTCTGAGCCATGTCACCCAGAGTCTCCAACCATTGGTTACGATAGTCACGTGGACCCCAACCAGGTAGTCTGCATCAACCAACATGGCTCAGACTAGAAGTTAGTGACTTCAAGCTCTAATGCCACGTTTTGGTTTGGCCGCCCCTAACTCTCTTCCAACCATCCCCTACACTAGTCAACATTGCGCGTCGTGGTAATCGATGTTCAGGTGTACGTAACACGTGGCCCAGCCATCTCAGTCGGTGAAGATTCATCACCTCATCAACTGATTTACCATCGTTCCATAATACCCTGCGTCTAACCTCACTATTACTTACCCGGTTATCCCAGCAGATGCGAGCAATATTTCCAAGGCATCTGTGGTCAAATACTAGTAACCTACGAGTATCTTCTACTCTTAATGGCCATGTTTCACAGCCGTAAAGTAGAACAGAGCGAACTGATGAGCAGTATACTCGTCCGTTAATTGATAGATGGATATCTCGTCATCGCCATAGGTGACGTAAGTTGGCAAAAGCCAAACGAGCTTTTTGAATCCGTTAAGAGATTTCGTCAGACACCAACCCATTAGGGCTGATCAGACTTCCAAGATAAGTGAAGTTGTCCACGCGTTCGACTACTTCACTCCCTATCCTTAGTTAAGGTGTTGACGCAGGCCAGTCCTGGAATAACAATTTACATTTGGATGGGGAGAAATGCATCCCAAACATCCTGGCATTATTACTGAGTTCCAACAGAAGACTCTGCATTTTTTAAGTGTCTTCACCAAACAGGACTATGTCATCTGCGTATTCTAAGTCGATAAGTGTACCTCCTGGTACAAGATCAATTCCTGAAAATTCAGTCGACGAGAGTGTTATTTCCAGCAACAGGTCTATAATGAAGTTAAACAAAAATGGGGATAGTGGACAGCCTTGACGGACACCACTTGAGGTTGTAAAATCATATGATAGTTTCAGGAGACCAGGAATAACGTTCCGTGTACTCGAATCGTTTGCACTAGCGGTCCAAGGTAATCAAAGGATGTGAGAATGGTTAGTCGTGGAGATAAGAGAGTTATTAGGAGGTGTAGGAAGAATTTGAATGTGACCAACTTGGTCGCGTATGCTGTTACAGGTTTAAGGGCTTATGTCACTTCCCGGCTGCCCACACCGTGGTAAGATATTTCTTGAGGATCCTGAAAAGGAAGTTGGATCAGTATTGATCTTAACGACCTGGGAGCGTGACCGCAGTGCCCAAGGGACAACTGCTTGAGGCCGGTCACTCACAGCCTTTTTGTGGTGGACTTTTGACCTGTTAGCTCCATTCTTCAAAGGGCCTTACCGTCGGAGACGGACATCCGTGAGGTAAGGTGTGACATTTTTAGGGCCGACCTTTCCTAAACTCCTGCTTCCTTGTGAGAAGGTAACATCACTGCAGATGCTGACTGTCCGAGGGAATCACCTTACTGCTGTCAGTCGGCAGTACGACTTCGCCCTCAGACCTTGAATTGATGCTTATAGTTTTATCGTTCTTCAATCGACCTGCCTGGCATGGTAGAACTTACAGAAACATATGTTCCAGCCCATATAGCTCGGTTGGGTCATCACGATAACCAAGCCCGACCACCACGTCGAGGTTGCAGCTACGTATTCAAGAGCACAACAATGTTCCAATCTGAGTATAAAATCACATAATTTTACCAACTTGAAATTCATTAATTTTATTTAGTCGCTTTTAAATAAATATGTAGACGTGAAAAGATCATGAACCATAGTTTTATCGGCTTGTAACAATAGATGGAGCTAGTTTGAACTTAACACTAGCGAGCAGTCAATAAACGTGCCTCATCAAACTGTAAAACGTACTGGACATGTATCACATTTATACAGTGACGTAAACGAACATGCATCAAGTGATGTGATGCGTAGGAGGACATTTCCACTAGCTGTTCTTGATAGATATATCCGCAAAAACGTGCATTACCAAATCTAAATTCTACGGTATTAGATTAGTAGTTTGAAGAGAAGGACACTCTCAGTGACCCAATGACAACGCGACAGAGGTCAAGTGAGTTTATTTGTAACTGCACTAAAGAATAATTAATTTACCTTACGACCTACAAACATTATCAGAGTAAGAGTCAAAAGCTTCCTGACTATTGAAAGAGTAATTCTTTACATTATGAACGGGAACATGGTGACCATGCAAAAGAAATGGGTATAAACTGATTTGTTCAATTTGTATGCAGATTATAAGTATCATATTCCTTGTGGGTGTATTGTGCCCCAATTAGGTACATGATTTGATTCTGTAATCATATGAATATATCATTGTTAGCACAAGTTACTAAACATTTCTCCACATTATTCATCTCTGCCTGCGACTTGAGAACGTGGCTTTACAACATAAACATCTACACTAAAATAACCTACTATATTACTCCATAAAGATTCCTTAACCACTATTCGTTTGTCAAGACTGCACCATAAAACTAAGGTCTGATTCTTTATTGATAAAAATTACAAAACAACTGTAAAAGAAAATTTGTAAACAAACATAGAGAAATAGCAATAGATAATACTGTCAGCAATTATTAAACGAACAGGACAAGGGAAAAAAATGTTCGGTTCATTTGTTTTCTTCCAAGGAATAAAAGTTAATTTACAAGTTATCATGTAGGTACAACATGAATAATCAACTATTTTATAAAATAAACAAGACATATACAACTTTTTTCACAGCCAATTACAATTAATTATTTTTTTGACTCCAAATAAATAAGTACATAGAAAAAAAACACACAAATAGGTATTTGGAACGTTATTCTTAATCATTTAACAAGAATAATTGACAAGAAAAATTAGTAAATTAATACACAATGGAAGGATAACACTGAGTTTTAATAAAATTGAATAAATAAATCCATTGATCCATTCCGCCATCTTGAATTTTCACTACATTCTGGATTACATGATGGGCATTTAGTAAATGTATTAAACCAACGTGTTGTGCATTTAGCACAAAATTTATGCTATACACACATATATGCAAATAAAAAAACTTATTTTTAATAAAATATGTGAATAAATGAGTATTTACCATGATTTGAAAATAAATGGAACCATTTATATTAAGGTTATCTTTTTCTAAGAAAAAAATGGATTGAAATTAAAATACAATAAACTGTTGCTTATCTGTTTAGGGATTAACCTATTAACTAGCTATAAAGAAATTTTCAATGCGATAGGAAGTTAAAAATACCACACAAAGCGAAATGACACTGTGAAGGCAAAGAGGGAAACAATCGCATAACGTATACGTAGTTGTAGATAAGCTGAAGCGAACAGCAGTTTAACAATTAAATCTGATGGTGATATCAACAATTTCACATACATAATCTCAGGTATCTTCGATGTACCAAAAACACCATCATCTACAGTACAGTAAGTGGTGCCGTGGAGTTTATGTTGGTCCAGGAGCTAACATTACATTTAATACGTGATAAGGCAAATGCGAAAATTCCTCTGATTATGATTTCGTAAAACAAGAATGTTGATGTAAGATGCGTACGCTATCATGACATTTTGGTCCAACCGAACCAGCGGCATCCATGTCGTGCATTATTTGCTGACTACGGGACTGGATGTACAAAGAAGACAGGTGGTTTCGTTACGACATGATGCCGCCACATGAAAAATAGATGAACAAGACTAACATCACCCGGTTTATTGTGGTTCTTTGTTTGGGATCCTAAATATGCTGCAAATCAGCGGCTAGCTAGGGACGTTATCGAACATAGCTCATAATAGAAGCCAGTGGCAATCTTGTCATAGTTTTCTCTCATATGTTTTGCAAAGTGGGAGGAACTTCCTTAGCTGAAAGAAATCTTTCTTGGTTGTACATTTAACTAAACTGTACCTCCTACTATACACTATTCTTGTCCAGTTGCACTTTTGGATTGTATTTATATTCCTTACTTCAATTTTTCTCAGTGTTATTTCTTTATTTATGTGGTGCAAACTTTTTTGGTGTCCAGTTGTACCACAAAGTACGTAGATTAAATAAATCTTAGATTATTTGTTTTTAGAAGTTCTCCTTACCAAAAATGTCTAATTCATTAGTTTATTAAAGTCATATGTAAACAATAAATCAAACATTTCCATAACTTTCCCAATTATTTAACGCTGTAAAAATTGACTTACATTACAAGACAAAATGCCGATATGAGTATAAGATTCAAGGCACATATTACAAACTTCATTCGATGGCGCCTGCAGTTCAACTGTATATGGCTATATAAAATAATTGATAAACAGTATACGTGTAAACAGTGTTCGTGCGCTATGCTAATATTTTGCAAATCCAAATTCAAGAAAGTGAACAAGATAACTTATATCCTCTAACCCTCTGCCTCGCTAAGTCAAGTAAAAAGATCAGTTTCGCAACTGAAAATTAGTTGGTAATAGCTCTAGTAGAATTAAAAACATGTTAAAGTTAATTGGTTATATATCGGTTACAGTGATCAGAATTCATGAAATGACTGACTGTCACTAGATACAAATTATAGTGAAATGGCATTAGGAATTTATAAAGTAATGTGACGAAAATGTGTTAAAAGTTGACCTTATATTACCCTTAAATTGCTATTGATTTCCTTTCTCATAAATTATATTTATGGAGTTAATATGTCCGACAAAGTTTCTTATTTATCGCATTTTGAATACTATTATTACTCATCAATTTCAGCATAGGATAAGTTATGCAAACAGGCAGTCTGTGTAAATCTGTCCAATTTAAGGACTGTGTTCATCAAAGACAGATATCAGATAGAAAACGATTAAAAATTCGAGAGCATTGGGTATCTGTTCCGTATTAGTTTAAGAATGTTCGATGGTGGGCATTTATGGGCTTTATAAAATCGAACCAATGACTTGGAGATTTCACAGTGAGAATGATACTCTTAAATTACTAATTCAGAATCTAAACGCTCCATATTTTTCAGTTCAGTAAGTGTTATGCCCCGTTAAGGATAATGAATGGTAACTTTGGGATCTATTTATGAACCAATATTATGCATATATTTTTTATCGTATAATTGCTAAATAACTAAACTATTCATATTCATGTTCCCCTTATCATTTTGAACAATAAACTATTGTTATACGATTTACCATTCTTGAGTAATCCCTAGTCTATTAATTACTGCCTCCCACATTCACAGCCACATTTGGCTAAATCTTGTACAAATGTTATTTTCTATTTTATTGGTACGATGCGGTCTGTCTGCTTAGTATATAAACTCAGTATGTTTGAAATACAATGATTCATACCGCAGAAGCTGCTCTGGACTTAACTGACTGGGCTAGGCAGAAGCAGGACCGATACGCACTCTAGACTGCTAGTACGGTTTTCGTGTGTCACTGTTCCAATCGATAATTCGCTGCTCTCTGATTGGCGGTCTTATCACGTCATACATTAACTGGGCATCCACTCGGCCATAAGTTATGACAGTAAGTAAATGATGTGTAGCAATCACAAACCTATAAAAACGGTGTTCATTGTTTCATTCCGACATGGTTGATTTTAGAGAGATCAAGAATCTTAACTGATATCACTTTTCCTGATACACAAGCTTTCAAAACATTGCGTGAGTCCCGATCAACGAAATCCAACATAATCTCGCTAAGACAGACAAGTCGAACCACAACGTCAGTGGAGCAGCAATGTAAAAGCAACATAATATTTGAAAGTAAGTACCTGAAACACATTGCCCCAAAATGCCCTGATACGGCCGAGAGTGGGGAGAGTCCGCGCTCCCTCTCGAAATGCTCTCACATGGCCGCGCGTATATAGCCACTGCCAGGGAAGTCCTACTCACTGCCTTCTCGTGGCATTACTGTTGTTTACGAAAGTGAGAGGACGAAAAGCGAATGTCCGGCGCTATAACCGGGTTGGTGGACACGCAAAGTCCACATAGGGGAGTTGGAAAATCCTGATTCCAAACCAATGGTGCACATGGGCTCCCGTATCCTGAAGGAACAAATGGCGAATGAACCAGTTGTTGGTCACCGGCTACCATGGGACTGCATCTCCGCACGATGCTCCACTGCCTTGTGGATTAGACCTCTAGGTCAAAGGCTCGGGGTGTGGCCCCCTAAGAAAACCATCTGTTTCGGTTTAGGCACCCGGGCAGTATCACAGCCCTCTCGCAAATAAATGAAATGGAACATTCAACTGACAATTATATTCTCGTTCATACTAGAAACAATCCAATTTGCATTATTACTATTTACCATATCGCTAATTCACCCCCTTTTATTCACAATTTGTGTAACCTTACTTTTCAACTTATGCAGCAGCTCGCTCTTGGTGGAAAATCTGTCCTATCTAAACGATCTCCAGTCACTGTCTGGTTGAAAGTGAATGCTTCCACCGATTACGAATACTGAACCAGCTTTTCTGAAACCACGTACGCCGTTCAAGCTGGCTTCCTTCAACGTTCGCACACTAATGCAGATCAGACAATAGATAGGGCTGGCTATGTTTTTGGAAAATCTTAATGTTGAAGTTTGTTGTCTACCTGAGACTCGTATTCAAGACTATAGTGAAGTACTACAAATCCACTCTCCATCTGTCGCTTCGAAAAGCTTGTTTCACGTGCGTTTATGCGGGACCCTGTAGCATCTTCGTCTGGTCTTGCCGGCGTTGGTGTCGCTCTAAGCGAATTGGATCCCCGTTGATAGTCGGTTATGCACTGTTGGATTAGAAAGTTCGATCAAAGTGAGAAGAAATCGGCGTGAGAAATGATGTCTTTTCGTCATCTCCGCCTATGCCCCGACAGATTGCAGCCCGGATGCAATCAAGGATGAGTTTTACCATCAGTTAACAGTTCTTCTCCAGAAAGCGCGTTCGACAGATATTGTAGTACTAGCCGGAGACTTAATGCTCAGGTCGGGCGTCTAGGCACAGAAGAGAGTCGTTTAGGTGGCCGATGGGGACTTCTTGGTCGCAGGACAGATAACGGGGACCGTTTGCTGCAACTGTGCACAGACCACAACCTGTTTCTGGCCAGCACTAACTTCCGGTACAGTCATCGCCGGTGTGCTACCTGGCGTCCTCCCTCTGCATACCAAGCCTGGACTCAGATTGATCACATCGCGATCAGCTACCGCTGGCGTGGTTGTGTACAAGACTGCCGCTCCTTTTGGAGTACCTATCTGGAGTCTGATCATGCCCTGGTTTGCGCCAATCTCACCTTACTTTTCAGTGGCCGAAGGACTGACCACCATCAACGGATCGATGTTGGTAAACTGGCTGCAACTTCTGTTGCAAGTAAGTATCGAGTGGAGCTAGCTTCTAGGTTAGCTATCATCCCACCGAAAAGTATAGATGAGCATTGGTTGCATCTTCACGACGCCATGAAAATGGCGAGTAAAGCCGCTTGCGGCTTCGCGAAACGTCCCGCTTACAAGCACTGGGTTTCTTCTGGCTCCTTACAACTGATGGAAGCTCGTCGGTCTACTCCGGGTGATCGTATGACCACAAACGAAGGCTGTTACGTAATGAAATTGGGCAAAGCTTGCGTAAGGACCGAGAAGCCTGGTGGTCGGAGCGTGCTAATGAGATGGAAGCAGCAGCTGCATCTGATAACTGCCGGAAGCTCTTCCAACTCATCCGAGCCACTGGCAGCAAGAAGTCTGGTGTGAGTGAAACAATCTACGAGGATGATGGGATGCCAATCACTAACATCTGTCGACGTCTTGGACGATGAGCAGAATTTTTCGAAGGGCAGTTCAACTGGCCTGCTGCCCCGACAACATCAACCAGTCTGTCCTGCCCCTTATGGCCGGTGACGACTGATCCACCAAACGAGGCGGAAGTCCGCAAGGAACTCCAACTCTTGAAACGTTACAAATCACCGGGCCCAGATGACTTACCTCCGGCTCCTTTTAAAGATGGTGGTGACCTTCTGACTAAGGAATTGACTGTGTTGTTTGGAAAGGTTTGGGAGGAAGAAAGTGTTCCAACATCTCGGAATGAGTCGATAGTCGTCCATATCTTTAAATAGGGTTCACGTCGTTCCTGCAATAACTTTCGGGGGATAAGTCTACTTCCGATTGCGTCCAAACTATTGGCTTCTATCATTCTTCGTAGGTTGTTTAAAACCCGAGAACGATTGACTCGCGAGGAGCAGGCTGGTTTTCGTTCTGGTCGAGGATGTATTGATCACGTCTTCACCCTCCGCCAAATGTTAGAACACCGTCATACTTATCGCAGGCCAACAATCGTAGTGTTTCTTGATATCAGGGCCGCCTTCGATTCGTTGGACAGGACTGTTCTCTGGGATTGTTTATTGAAGAAGGGTGTGCCTGAGAAGTTCAGTAACATCTTAAAGGCCCTGTATACGAACACCTCAGGCAGAGTGAGGGCATACAACCACCTTTCTCCCTTGTTCCATTCGAGCAGTGGGGTTAGGCAGGGTTGCCCAATCTCACCATTCCTCAACTTTGCTATCGACGACATCCTGGAAACAGCTCTGATGGATGTAAGTAATGGCGGTGTGGATCTGCTGCCTGGAGAACGACTTCTCGACCTTGAGCATGCGGATGATATTGCCTTACTGCGCCCAAGCCATGCAATCCACACTTAATCAGTTAGCAATCAGTGTCCGCAGAAACGGCATGTGCTTTGCACCCTCCTAGTGCAAAGTACTTCGACGAGACTGGCAGAATTCTAATCCTGCACTCACCCTGGATGGTGAGCAGATTGAAGTAGTTGAGAAGTTCGTGTATCTAGGTAGCTACATAAGTGCTGGTGGTAGCGTGAGTGATGAGATTGATGCACGTATAATGAAAGCAAGAGCGGCTTATGCCAATCTGGGCCATCTTTGGCGCCTTCGTGGTGTTAGTCTGGCTGTAAAAGGTCGGATCTACAACGCGTCGATGAGAGCAGTTTTGCTCTATGCTTGTGAAACCTGGCCTCTCCGAGTTGAGGATGTTAGAGGTCTCTCTGTGTTCGATCATCGTTGTCTCCGAAGGATTGCTGACATCCAGTGGCAACACCATGTTAGTAATGCAGAGGTTCGGCATCGTGTGTTCGGGCGCAGAGACGATAATTCAATTGGTGTCACCATCTTGAAACACCGACTTCGGTGGCTTGGACATGTTTTACGAATGTCGTCCCAGAGACTTCCACGTCGTGCATTATTTGCCGACTATGGGACTGGTTGGAAAAAGCGGAGAGGAGGTCAGTGTATGACATGGTGTCGTGGCATAAAAAAGAGCTGCAAAGGGCTAGCTTCTGTTGGTCCTTCACGGCTCCCTGGCTGGGGTCCGAGAGATGGTGCAACACAGTGGCTAGAGACGTTATCAGATATGGCTCAGAATAGAAACCAGTGGCGATCCTGCTGTAACCTACTACTTTCTTCATAAAGAGTGGCTATAACTTTCCTAACTGAGAGAGCTTTTCTGGTTGTACATTTCAAGTTCCCCCCATCATTACTCTTCTCCTTTTCTTTTTTTCCTTCCTTTATATATACGCATCTTCTTCCTTCTCCTCCCATTCTCATTGTTTTGTGTGGCGCATATGTATCCGGTGCCCTTTGTACCAATATATATGTGATTAAATAAATAATAATAATAATAACCTGAAACACAATTTCATTTAAAAAATAAATTCCATCAAAACTAAGGAAAGCTTAATAGTGAAGAAATATGACAAACGTGTACTCACTTTTGTGCATATCATCGAACGTGAAAATTTCATAAACTCTTTACACAATGAAAGTATAATACAAACCTAGAAGAAAATTTTTAAAAAAAATAAAGCACGTAAAGAACCAATGGCATTCAGTTACTTACTGAATATCAAGATTTCAAACTAAATAAATTTGGATTTTCTCACTACACTAGTATTCTTTGGACTTTATTTCCAGTGTTTGCATTCCTTAATCATAAGCCAATTAATTTGGCAAAGAAATCCTTTGCAACGATTTCATTTTCAAAACTGCATAGTAACATATATAAAGAGAAAGGTTCCCATTGATATTACTATACAGACGTTTTTGTTTAACATCATGTTAACATCGACTTATTGCACTAATATAAAGAGTAGCAGTAAGAATAACAACAATAACTGCCTGATTCAATATCAAAAATTTTGTTAAAGCAACAAATTCATAGAACCAATAATATATTTTAATAGATTTCTGTTTGATATACATTTAAATTGTAATTTTTAGAAATATATCAACAATTAGTATTCCCTATTCATCGTTAATCACGAAATTTTTCTAATAGTTCAGGTGCTATAGCTATCTTTTTCATTCATCGAATAAAACACGCGTAAATTCGATTGTATTTGTCATTCATTTCTTCAGAGAATAGACAAAGAGGAAAATACTACAGCTGCAACAATCCTGTTGGAATTTTCCAGTATATAGTTTTATTTATTTTACTTAAGCATATAAACATTGGTACAAGGAGGCAACAAATATATATGCGCCACACAAATAACTCATTTTATGCAAGGGCTGGAATACTGTTTGGGTGCTTAAACCGAAGCAGGTGGTTTTCTTAGGGGGCCACCCCCCGAGCCTTTGATCTAGAGGTCTAATCCACAGGGCAGTAGAGCAACGTCAGGAGATGTAGTCTCATGGTAGACTTTTATATCCTAGCAAAGACATGAGTACAGGTAACTTCCGAAACCCATAAATGGACGATTATTCTATATACGTTCTTATTGTTTAACTATTGAGTGATTGGATTTAATCTATATATATTCATCTTATTATAAGCTTCATTTTGACCTATGGATTATTATTATATGAATTACTGTTCTTAAATTATATTCCGTTTATTGATTATTGTATCCCACGTTCACAGACACGTTTGGCTTGATCTTGTACAAATGTTATTTTATAATTTATTGGTACGATGCGGTCTGTCTGTTTGGTATATAAACCGAGTATGCTTGAAATAAATGATTCGCATAGCAGAAGCTGCAATTGGTGTTTTTGGACTCGATTTTAAGAGCTAGGCGGACAAGGGACCAATAAGAACGCCAGACTACTCATACTGGTCGAACGTCATTGATTTGGCACAGTGTTAGGATTAGACAAGTCGTATTCCGATTGGTGGATAAATCACGTGATAAAAGCCGGACGTAAAATCATAACGAATTGGCATACGGCCCTTTCTTAATTCATAACATAGACGATGACCAACAATAAGTTCATACGCCATTTGTTTCTTTCAGGATACTGGAGCTCATGTGCACCATTGGTTTGGAATCAGGATTTTCCAACTCCCCTATGTGGACTTTGCGTGTCCACCAACCCGGTTAAAGAGCCAGATATTCGTTTTTCCTCCCCTCAATTTAGCAAACAACACCCAAGCCGAGGGATAGTGAGTAGAACTTCCCTGGCAGTGGCTATATACGCGTGGCCATGAGAGCAAGGCATACCAAGGCATTTGGGGAAAAGCTAGCATACACTGTTGCAGTAGTTTGTCAGCCTTTCATAATAGCGCGTCACTACATACAGTTAGTCTTCACAATTATTTTGTTCAGACAAATCCTAAATAGGAAGTCTTATGGCAATATCGACGCAGTTAACCAAAAGTAAAAGTACCTCGCAATTATATCCAGACTTCAGACATATTCACTTCATACCCTGTCAGTTATGAGTAACATAGAACCTGATACACATATGTATCGGTTTAAGTTGCTACACTTCAGATTTGCATAGCGAGAGGAAATCAGAATGATGTGTTGTGACTTGGATTAGAAGAGAATTTGTTGTCAGTTACAACCTGCAATTTACTGAACTGGAAAATATTAACGCGAAAGTAAACGATCTTAACTACTATTTAACACTATGTTTCCAAAACTCCGCCTGTAGCTCTTCTAGAGTTACTGCCTGTCCCAAGCCCACACAAAGGAGGAGGGTTGGACATGAGGTTAGAGACCCCATCCTGTAGAAAACTAACTCCCTAAAAAGCGCTAACCAGAAGAAATTATTCAAACCATTTAAACTCTGCCCTGGGAGTTGAAGGAAGAATTATGACGTCTCATGATGAAAGCTGAGATTCTTCTAAAGTCACGAGGCTGATGTCCCTTCTAACAACCAGAAAAACAATTTTTATAGGTACATGGGACGTCCGGACAATGTGGGAGACCGGGAGGACCGGTTAAATTGCAATAAAAATGAGGAGATACAAATTGGCAGTACTCGGAATCAGCGAAACACATTGGACACAAGTTGGACAACAAAGGCTAGGTACGGGAGAGATGCTTCTGTACTCCGGTCACGAAGGGGAAAATGCTCTTCACACAGGGAGTTGCTCTAATGCTGTCCAGAGAACCACGAAATGTACTTGTAGGATGGGAATCTCATCGATCCAGGATCATCAAAGCATCATTCAAAACGAAGAAGGAGGGGATCACAATAAATGTTATCCAATGTTATGCACCCACCAATGATAGCAACGACGACGATAAAGATCAGTTCTATGAGAGGCTGCAATCAATTATAGAGAAGTGCTCACGAAAGGACCTCACAATCCTGATGGGAGATCTAAATGCTAAAGTCGGAGTGGACAACACAAGATATGAAGATATAATTGGACGACATGGACTAGGAGAGAGAAATGAAAATGGGGAGAGACTTGCGAATATATGTGCATTCAACAAATTGGTTATAGACGGCACAATATTTCCACACAAACGCATACACAAAGCTACATGAATCTCGCCGGACCACACCACAAAGAACCAGATAGACAATATTTGTATCAACAAAAAATTCAGAAGGACAATAGAAGATGTGAGAATCAGGAGAGGAGATGACATGGCTTCAGATCACAACATGAGTGTGGCCAAGATGAAACTGAAGCTAATGAAACACTGGACAACTGCGCAAACATTACAAAAGTTCAATACAGCCTTCCTTCGACATACTGACAAACTCAACTAATTCAAGATAACTTTCAACAACAGGTTCCAAGCTTGACAGGATCTACTGAAAGAACAACAAACTACTATGGAGAATAAATGGAAAGGGACCAAAGAAGCATTAACTTCAACATGTCAGGAGATGCTGGGCCACAACCAGCATCATCATATGGAATGGATCTCTATGGGAACCCTGGACAAGATTCAAGAAAGGAAGAACACGAAGATAGTAATCGACAACCACAGAACAAGAACAGAGAAAGTCAAAGCACAAGCTGAATACACAGAACCAGACAAACAAGTGGAGAAGAGCATTAGAGCTGACAAGGAGAAATATGTGGAAGCGCTAGCAACGACTACGGAAATTGCCGCAAGAGAACTTAATATAGAACAACTATATGACACGACGAAGAAACTAGTAGGGAAATATAGTAAACTATAGAAACCGGTCAAGGACAAGTAAGGAAAGTCAGTTACTGCGATTCTGGAACAGAGGAACAGATGGGTAGGACACTTCGGGGAACTCTTGAATAGGCCAGCACCACTGAATCCACTGGACATCGAAGCAGCACACACAGACTTTCTTATAGATATTTTTCCACCAACGATCGAAGAAGTCAAGATATCCATCAGACAAATCAAGAGTGGGAAAGCGGCAAGACCTAACAATATACCAGCTGAAGCATTGAAGTCAGATATTGAAGTAACTGCAAACATGCTTCACGTTCTATTCATGAAGATTTGGGAAGCACAGGCCAGTCACTCGGTTGCAGTTGGACCCTAGCACCAGATCCTACGAATCTGCTCAAAGGGGAGGTGTTAGCGGGGAATAAACCGGATTAAGGCATGTTATGTGCATGATCGTGATGGTGCGCGCTGATTGGCTAATTTTGAACCAATCAGCCCTGGCAAATTATTGGAGAAAAGTCTAGAAGCTTCTTATGCATATACTATAAATATATGAACGTTTTTCTAACCATTGATTGCTGTTCACTTACCATTGTTATTTTGAATACAATTTCGTTCCTGTTCAACGTGTTCTGATTTTGGGGTCTTGTCGAGTGTCATTGTATAAGAATACTAAGCAATAGGAGTAGCTGTGTCGTTTAGCAGCGAATACAATTATAACACCTAGGAAATATCCTTCTGCAGTGTGGACAAACAGGAAGTCACAGCTGCCATCATACCTCTAACAGCATCTGAGATCATCCTGTCCATACTAAGCTACGAAAGAAAACTGCTACGATATACCATTAAGAGCAATAGAGGAACTATAGCAGTGAACATTCTCTTTTGATTTTGAAGAACAACATCAAAAAGATTGAAACACAGCCAATGTAACCTAATCATGCTAGGTAGCATAAATCATACTGTGATTATCATCAACTTGGAATCCAAGCCCACGATAATGTCTGTTATTCACGTTTACCTATAGTAGACTAACACTATGAATACTGATTTATCACACGCATTAAGAACCAACTGTCAGTGACTAAGACATATTATTTCATAACATTAAAGTGTGAAGTGTTCCCACTAACGTTAAAAACGTTTGGCACTACATAAAACACTTATATAATTGAGTCAGTCAGTCAGTCACAACGTAGAACTTCGTACGTACGTACATCAGTTCGAGTTGCCATACTACATTAGCACAGAGATGCAGTTGTCGATTCAAATCCCATAGTGGTAAAAGTAGTACGAGTATAATCAGAAATCCAAAAGATTAGGGTTTGAAGAAATTATTGAAGGAGTATAGTACAGTGAAATAAATTTGGAAAGAGAAAAATATAAAGACATGAGGAATTCAGAAGATTAGAATTTGGTAGAACACAAAGAGTGGATGCATCTTCGCCATTGCAAACGATTTTGAGCCATGTCATTCAAAGTCTCTAACCATCGGTTGCTGTCATCTCGCGAATCCCAACCAGGTAGTCTACACCTACCAACATGGCCCAGTCCACTTGTCAGTGACTTCATTGATTTGTGCCACGTTTTGGTCTGGCCACCCCTAGCTTTCTTCCAACCTACTCCTACACCATGAAACATTGCACGTCGGGGCAGTCGGTGGTCGGGCATACGTAACACATGTCCCAGCCATCTCAACTGATGAAGTTTCACTACTTCATCAATCGATTTGCCATCCTTACCTAGTACCCGTTTTCTAACATCTGCATTACTTACCCGGTGGTCCCAGGATATACGAGCAATCCTTTGAAGACACCTATGATCGAAAACTAGTAGCCTTCGAATATCCTCTACTCTTATTGGCCATGTTTCACTGCCATAAAGTAGGACGGAGCGGACTGCTGCACAGTAAACCCGTCCTTTGGTTGCTAGACGGATATCTCGCCTACGCCATAAATGACGCAAGTTGGCGACAGCTAGACGAGCCTTCTGTATCCGTGCTGAGATTTCGTCACATACCTGACCACAAGGGTTGATGAGACTCCCAAGATAAGTGAAGTGGTCTACACGCTCAACTACTTCACTCGCTATCATTAGTTCAGGTGTCGCTGCAAACCAATCCTGAAGTAACATTTTGCACTTCGAGGGAGAGAATCGCATCCCGAACATGCCTGCATAGATGCTTATAGTGGTCAGAAGACTCTGCATGTTGTCAGCGTCTTCACCGAGTAAAACTATGTCGCCGGCGTATTCTAAGTCAAGTGTTAGGAGGTAACTCACTTTCAAAATACAGTACAATAAGCATACAAATATTCTCCCGGCTAGGATGCCCTGTAGTTTCCAATTTAGTTCTACCAGGAAACATATCCACAGAATCCCAGGTGGTATGTGTCTGAGGAATAAGAATATGTATTCCAAAAAGCAGAGTAATGAACCCTAAAAAGAAAGTGATGACGTAAAATGGATACAAAAATGTATGAAAAGTTGGAAAAACATGACTAGAATGCTTATTAATTCGTTTATTCATTGAAACACATAAACATTGGTACAATGAGGCAACAAATATATATGCGCCATATAAGTCATTCGATTTATGTGAGGGCTGGGATACTGCCCGAACCGAGGCGGGTGGTTTTCTTAAGGGGCCACTCCCCGAGCCTTCGACCTAGAGGTCTAATCCACAGGGCAGTAGGGCGACGTCAGATGTAGCCTCATAGTAGCCGGTGACCAACAATAGGCTCATACGCCATTTGTTTCCTTCAGGATACTGAAGCCCATGTACACTATTTGTTTGGAATCAGGGTTTTCCAACCCCCTAAGTGAGTCCTCCGTATCCACCAACCCGGTTAAAGAGCCAGACAGTGAGTTATAATAATTAGACTCTTACCAGAAAATGTGGTTTAATGTAAATATGAGCCATAACTTTATTACAAAGTTGTAAGTCGTAGAACCATCGATTGGGCAATAGTGAGTGAGAGGAAAACCATTGAGGTGGTTTCGGATGAGCGGAAAAGTTGTGAATAATGTATTGAGTCGATAAGCTGTAGGATGAAACCCACTCTATAGTTCCTTCGAAAGTAATTTCTCTACTTAGTTCTGTATATTTGATTTTTTGATACTATAGAGATAATACATCAATACTGGGTTCACGAAGAGTATATCTTTTCAAGTTGACATGATACTACCTTCACATTTTTAAAAAAATTACAGGTACTTACGTTTTAACTCAGTTAAAAAGTCTATGTACAAATAGGTTATTAGCACATCAAGACACTAAGTATAAGGTGAAACTATAACGGTAGACGAACTAAGGCTACGTAGTTAGACAAATGAATGGGATTTGACGACCAAGTCTCTGGAAAAACAAGTCACAGACGCTTTGGTGTCACAACGGGTAGAGACATTTACTCTACATGAGTGTGAATGCAACTGACTTATTAAGTATCATTTTACGCATACTCTATTCTCTATAGTATCAATACATTCGTCCAGTGACAAAGATATTAAACCTCATGTTGTTTGTCCAAATACAACATATTTGGGATGTAGTTAAAACAACTCTGAAGTCAATGGCATTTCTGTCATGAATTTTCTGAGTTCCGAGTAACTAAAAACCCTGCGTGACTAAGTGTCTAATGAAAGTGGGTGACGCGAAAATAAGAGAGCTTAAGCATTCAATATCTCGAACTGTCAACCCATAAAGAGTACCAGAAATATAATACGGATAGATAAAACAAACCTACCATAGAGTAGCAATCAAGTGTTTTAGACAGGGACAACAAAGATATGGTCTTAATAAATATCGACAACATTTTTAAAGAGCAATCGGAGATGAATATATACCACAAAGTCAGTGGTAGACTTGATACTGAACTAGAAGGCTGCAAAAAGAAACTGCAAACGTTACTGTCGAAAAAATGAAAGCTTACACATTATAGAAACCCTGATTCCATAAAGAGTATTGAATTAAACCTAAATGTGAGAGTGAAACGACAGATAAGGGAATGCAAATCTTCCTGTACGAGAGATCAGAAAAACCTACAACAGTATCAAATAAGCAAAACTCCAGCCCAGTCAGCATAGGCTCTGGGAACCCTCGGAGGACTCGAAGCTTTCCAGGCTACTTCGAAGAAAAAAATTATGTCCCTGAAACTGCCCGGAGAGCTACGAGACTGCCCCTAGGATCCCGAGTAACGCTACCTGGGAAGTATTGAAATTACTTGTCTGTATCTCTGAATTCATGAAGAGGACCGTAATGTATCCCCATGAAGCCATAACAATATCTATAAGAACTGATTTTTAAGATGTCTCATGTACTAGTGAAATATTCTCCATAAAGCTTCAAAACAATCACTGATATGAAGCAAATGTGAAAGATATTACGCAGAGAAAGGAATTGATCTTTTTTCGCTTTTTTCTCTGTAGAAGCATCATCACATGCAGAAACAATAGGTAAGATACTATGGTTAGAATGCACCATTTTACATAATACTAACTGACCTAGAACTGTCGAAATTCCCACCACCAAATCCAAAACTCAATTTTTATCGGAAATTGGGTTCTGTTTGTCTCTAGTAATTTACGTCCGAGCTACTGAAGCTGATCCTTAAAAGTTAAAATTTATCCCACTGATTATTCTCTCCTGATGCACAATTTGGAAAAGCGAGAGTTGTTTCTGTGATTAGTCTAATTTACCCCTAAACCTATCCAGTTTAGCAAATTAACTCTTTAGTCCTCCTCGTGTCTAATGACTAACATTCACATAAGAATAGGCGAGCTAACTGAAATAAATATTTTTTCGGACATCAATGATTATTGGTCACACTAAGGCATTTCATTATAATTATACTAGAAAAATCTAATGGAATAAAGTTAGTCCCGATCGATAAAAGTGAATTAGTCAATGATATTTCAGTAAGATACCAATCTTTTAAGACTAACATAATCCCTGAGTGATTACTCTTACCTACTTAACTCTCAATCATAAGATTGCACCTTCTTTACAAATACGGTTGACCCTTTCATCGAGCTATTTTGTTATGTACCCGTTATTGTTTGGTAAGTATGTTTTCGCTGTCCCCTCTGTGATCGACTGTAATGTTTTGAGCTTTTATACCAATTACAGAGAATTATGTTTCAGAAAAGGAATTTAATTTTTTGGCTGTACTCATAGTTACTTGTTTTAGACTATTGTCTATGTTGACTATGTGTGCAACTATCTAGGGACTTGTTCATGTTGAGAAACATAACAGATTGGATTCACTCAAAAGTTCCAACATTCTTCCCCTTTTTCAGATTTGCGGAGCGAAAAAAGTGTAAAATCGACAGTATTTTTTAAAATGGTAGGGGCGTTGATCCTGCAATGTGAATGGTGAACTGAAGTACATGCAAAACGATCTAATTGCAGGGACGAAATACGAGACCAGTAGAACAAAGGGTAGAGAATGGTGTAAGGATGGGCATTCTTAACACATAGTAGCAAAGCGAAAGTATAAAATTAACGTGATAGGCAGTATGACTTCACATTTGATGTACAACAACGGTACGTATTGAATGGAAACATAATTGTGTGCTATTTGTATTTGTCAATATGTGTAGTACCACTAGCATTAATAGGAGATATAGAATACAATTAGCTGTCCCATGGCAACTGATAAATAGTAAGTAAATCTGAACTCTTCATTCCATTTATTATATCACTTGTCGTGTGACTAACGACAAATACATTCAACTGTTCTAATCAGCTGTCTTATCTGAATATGTTGAACGATTCACTGTAACAGCAGAAATAACACACATCCATTTATTTTTATTTTACTTACTTATCCTCATTTCATGCATGCTTTAATATATTTTATTCGCATCATATATGAAAATTGTGCTCTCTTTTGATAGTTCAGCAATCAGAGGCAACAAATAGTGGATGAAATTTCTTCTCACAACTCAGATCCACTTACGAATGCACACAATCTGTTATCTTAACACTTTTCTTTACACACCACATGTATCATAAACACCAAGGCATACACTTTAGAAATTGTCTATATTATTGGATGACCGATTTAGATTACAGTTGATTGCTTGCATTCGATAATTTGACGTTTGATTATATCTCATTGAAAAAGCTTCGACCAGATTGCCTTGCGAAAATTTAAACTTTCTTCAAACTTAACCTCTGAAATTTCACAAATAAGCTCTTCTTTAATATAGTTGAAAGCGTAAGTCAATTGAAGCTAGACCACCATCGAAATCCTGGAAACACTGGACGGCCGTTTCGTCCTATTATGGGACTCCTCAGCAGTGCGCATCCACGAACCCGCTCTCGCGAGATTCGAACCCTGGACCTACCAGTCTCGAGTCGAAGCCCTTAACCGATAGACCACTGAGCTGGCATCCAACGGTGTTAATGTCTAACTTCAACTGATCCACGAAGTTGAGCAACCATTCACCAATTGTCTTCAGTGAGTTCCTATCTCACAACAGACTATGATAAATAATAAATCTCCAGAAAACCCCTTCTATAATTAATATAATCATATGCTCACTAGTGACTTCGAGAAGTATAACTAGGAGCTCTAGTGAGAAGCAGTGACCAGTGGAGTTCAAAACCACGTCTGTTGTGAGATAGGAACTCACTGAAGACAATTGGTGAATGGTTGCTCAACTTCGTGGATCAGTTGAAGTTAGACATTAACACCGTTGGATGCCAGCTCAGTGGTCTATCGGTTAAGGGCTTCGACTCGAGACTGGTAGGTCCAGGGTTCGAATCTCGCGAGAGCGGGTTCGTGGATGCGCACTGCTGAGGAGTCCCATAATAGGACGAAACGGCCGTCCAGTGTTTCCAGGATTTCGATGGTGGTCTAGCTTCCATTGACTCACGCTTTCAACTATGATAAATACTAAATCTCCACAAAGCCTCTTCTTTAGTAGTTTACGATAACCCAGAGTCCAGATACTGTGAAATTATTTGTTCTAATTTATATGAGAGTTCTTGTATAGCTAATGCATTTGTTACAAAATGAATTAAATAATAAAGAAACGAATAAGAAAACAAACCATTAACTCAGTAAGATTCAATAGTAGAATAAGAGTTTGTTCAGTAATAGTTTAGAATGGTGAACTGAAGGTCTCAATTAATTGAAGAGAATAAACATCAAACATCATTTTGTACGAACAGTATATACGTGGTGAACATAAAATGAATTACTTACTTACTTTCGACTGTTACTCCCAATGGAGCATAGGCCGCCGACCAGCTTTCTCCAACCCACTCTGTCCTGGGCTTCCTTTTCTAGTTCTATCCAGTTCTTGTTCATTCTTCTCATGTCTGTCTCTATTTCTCGGCGTAATGTGTTCTTTGGTCTTCCTCTTCTCCGTTGACCTTCAGGAATCCATGTGAGGGCTTGACTTGTGACGCAATTGGGTGATTTTCTCAAGGTGTGCCCAATCCACTTCCAGCGCTTCTTCCTCTGCTGGAATTCGGTTTGTTCTCTCCCACAGTAACTTGTTGCTGATAGTGTCTGGCCATCGGATCCGAAGTATCTTGCGTAGACAGTTGTTAATGAACACTTGTATCTTCTGGATAATGGCTTTCGTAGTTCTCCAAGTCTCCGCCCCATACAGTAGAACTGCCTTGACATTTGTATTGAAAATTCTAACCTTGGTGTTGGTTGACAATTGTTTTGAGCTCCAGGTGCTTTTCAGTTGTAGGTATGCTGCTCTTGCTTTGCCGATCCACGCCCTCACATCTGCATCTGATCCACCGTGTTCATCAATGATGCTGCCCAGATATGTAAAGGTTTCGACATCTTCCAAAGCTTCTCCGTCAAGTGTAATTTGATTGGTGCATATTGTATTGTATCGAAGAGTCTTGCTTTTCTCTTTGTTTATATTGAGACCTACTGCTGCTGAGGCTGCTGCTACACTGGTCGTTTCCTCCTGCATTTGTTGTTGCGTTTGTGATAGAAGAGCCAGATCATCCGCGAAGTCTACATCGTCAAGCTGCATCCTGCCTGTCCACTGTATCCCGTGCTTTCCTCCAGATGTTGACGTCTTCATGATCCAGTCGATGACCAGGAGAAAGAGAAACGGTGAGAGTAAGCAACCTTGCCTAACACCGGTCTTTACTTGAAACGAGTCGGTGAGTTGTCCTCCGTGGACGATTTGGCAGTTTAGTCCATCATAGGAGTTCCGTATGATATTTACTATCTTCTCAGGCACGCCGTAGTGTCGAAGAGGCTTCCATAGTGTCGTCCTGTCCACGCTATCAAATGCCTTCTCGTAGACGATGAAGTTGATGTAGAGTGATGAATTCCATTCGATTGATTGTTCCACAATGATCCGCAGAGTTGCGATTTGATCTGTGCACGATCTATCCTTACGAAATCCAGCTTGTTGATCTCGAAGTTGGGCGTCCACGGAATCCTTCATCCTGTTTAACAATACTCGGTTGAAGACTTTTCCTGGTATTGAGAGAATAGTGACGCCCCTGTAGTTGTTGCACTTGCTAAGATCACCTTTCTTTGGTATCTTGATCAGAAGTCCTTTTTTCCAGTCTGTTGGTACTTGTTCTTCGTCCCAAATCTTACTGAAGGGGATGTGGAGTATCTTGGCAGTTGCTGCTACATTTGATTTCAGTGCCTCTGCCGGGATGTTGTCTGGTCCTGCTGTTTTGCCGCTCTTGATTTGTCTAATGGCCATGCTGATCTCTTCAATTGTTGGTGGGTCAACCTGGATTGGGAGGTCCGTGGGTGCTGCTTCGATGTTGGGTGGGTTCAGTGGAGCTGGTCGATTCAAGAGTTCTTTGAATTGTTCTACCCACCTGTTTCGTTGTTCTTCAATGTCGGTGATTACTTTGCCTTCCTTGTTTTTCACTGGTCTTTCTGGTTTACGGTAATTTCCAGCAAGTTTCTTTGTTGTATCATACAGTAGTCTCATGTTTCCCTCTCTTGCAGCCTTTTCCGCTGTCATCGCTAAATCTTCCACATATTTAAGTTTGTCGGTTCTGATGCTCCTCTTCACTTGCTTGTTTGCCTCTGTGTATTCGGTTTGTGCCTTGGCTTTTTCCGCTCTGGTTCGGCTGATATTGATTGCTGCCTTCTTGTTCCTCCTTTCTTCAATTTTATCCAGTGTACCAACAGTGATCCATTCCTTGTGGTGGAGCTTCTTGTGGCCCACAACCTCCTGACATGTTGAGACGATTGCCTCCTTGATACCTTTCCAGTTGCTCTCCATGGTAGTTCCCTCTCTATTGAGTAGATCATGAAAGGCCTGGAACCTGTTGCTGAGGGCTATGTTGAATTTGTTGAGTTTGTCAGCATCTCGAAGAAAGGCCGTATTAAACTTTTGTGATGTTGTCCGCTCCGTTGTCCAGTGCTTCTTAAGTTTTAGTTTCATCTTGGCGACCAACAAATGATGATCGGATGCTATATCAGCTCCTCTTCTGGTTCTCACATCTCAGAGAGGTGGAAAAAAGAAGAGAAGAGGATATTTTATGTTTCGGAAGATCAACCATGATTATGTCGATAACAATAATAGCGAACT